TGAAGAGTGCTCTAGGCCTAGGCTGGGAGAGACAGTCTGAAAAGAAGGAAAAGCATGGACAAGGCGTGATGGTGAGCAGTGGTGGGTGACAGAGCATGTCAGATAAACCATCCCTGGAGTTTGTAACTAATGAGTGGACTTCTTTTCACCGAAGAGCCCATTGTTCTAGTTTAAATTGTAATTTTCCCTCTCCTACACATATTCATTGTTAAAAATTCCTTGAATTCTCTAGGAAGAAATTAGAAAATATTTCAAATTGAGTAAATCTAGGATTAAAACATTTGGCCCTTGAGAGTCTCTTCCTTCAAACACCAGCTAAGTAGGTAGATTGAAAACACAATAAGACTGCAAAATAGTATCTAAAAATACTAACCTATGGGCTGCCCAGTCATTCCTTTGGAAGGCTGTGTGTGCAGTGGTTAAGGGCATGGATTCTGGAGCCAGACCCCTGGTTTCAAATCTCAGTTTCACCATTTGCCCCCTGCATGACCTGTCTGCTTTGATGTCTTCGTCTGTGAAAGCTAGTTATTTTAAAGGGTTGAATGATTCAGTATATGTTAAGTCCTTCTAAAAGTACCTGACACATATTTTAAGCTAGCTATTTTTATCATTGTTTAATTTATATTCCAGCAATGCAGGAGCAGTGCAGTGTAGGATTCTGCTGTAGGGGAAAATCTTCACGTTTTTCTTCGGGTAGACTTAGCCCTAGAAGCCATCCAAATGGATACAGAAACAGAAGGCACCCGTTCCCCTGGAGCGCTTTTCCTGATTCCTTCATTAAGATATAACCTGTATTTTTCTACAGGCCTAGGAGCACCTGTTGAGTCTGGTTGTGGGTGAGGCGGTGGCATTACTGGCCCTGCTCTTGCTACCATGGGCTAGTCCATGCATCAAAACAAAGGAGGTATTCCTGGAAATGATTGACCCTCGGGGCCTTCTAATCCCCCTAGGGCTTGTGCTTCAGTTCTTTCTAGACTCCTAACTAGTGTTTTCTCCTGTCCTTACTCTCTAACCTAGATGGAAGAACTGGTGGGTAAGAGGCATCCTGACTTTGGCCATGATTGCATTTTTCTTCATCATCATTTACCTGGGACCAATGGTTTTAATGATGATTGTAAGTGCCGTTTGCATGCTACTTGAGTCTTGCTTTTATTTTTTTTCCAGCAGGGCTGGTCTTCTTAAATGCCAAGTGTTGGGTTGGGTCCTGGAATTAATGGGGAGTCTAGGCTTCTTGGAACATTTTTGCCTTAGAACATCGAAGCTGCTTACTTTTCAGCAGCTCCCTGGGGGCAGACGTTGCATAGGCCAGTTGTTTGTTCTTGAAGATGTCTCTTCACTCTGAATATTAATTCTGTGATTCCAACTGTTTGATTAATCTGTGACCCTGGTGTTATGGATTAAATTGTGTCCCCCAAAAGAGGTGTTGTAATTCCTAATCTCTATGTCTGTTGTTAAAATCCCATTTGAGAATAAGTTATCTTTGTTATGAGGCAGGATTAGTGTAGGGTGTGTCGAGTCAGTCTTTTATGAGATATGAAAGAGGTGAAACAGAGACAGAGAAGAGAGGTGCCAAGGCACGTGAAGACTGACCAGGAGCAGAAACTCAGAAAAGACAAGGACCTTTCTCCAAGGTCGATTGAGAAATCCTTGCCCCAGAGCCAGTGCCCTAAATTTGGACGTTTAGCCTTCTGGGAGAAAATGTATTTCTCTTTGTTAAAGCCACCCATTTGTGGTGTTTCTGTTAACAGCAACACTAGATAACTAAGACACCTGGCTTATGTCTTTGGGTGACTCTTGGTTTAGTTTCTTCTTTTCCTGGGGCCTCACTAATGGGTTTAGGGTTTTCATTAAGAAGTCCCAGTCCACAGTGCTTCTCCCTCAGTCTTCTCACCATCACGGACTGGGTCAGATGACTAATAGCTGAGAAGAGCAGTTAGGGTGTGTTCAAGAATTTATATTCAAAGTCAAAAAGGGAAGGGATTGGTTGAGTTCTAGGAGGTTTTAGAGTTAAAAGTTAATTAAGATAGCAGGGTGTGTATTTGTTGTAAATTGGCTCTGCTTCTGTGACAGAGGGAGCTGCAGTGCCCTGGGGCCTGGTGTGAGAGAGGAAGGAAGAGGAGAACAGAGTCATTGTGGGACTGAATTTTATTTTTTAATTAAAAAGATTTTTGTTGACAGTCCATGTCTTGGCTTTCTAGTGCTGTCTTAATGACATTCCACAAATGAGTGGCTTTAAAGAGCAGAAATTTATTTTGTCATGGTTCTGGAGGCTGGACATCCAGATTAGGTACTGGTTGTGTTGACTCTGAGCGTTTCAGAGAGGAATTGTTCTGTGTCTCTCTTCTGGTTGGTGGTAACTGCCATCAATCCTTGGTATTCCTTTGCATCGGCCTCTATTACGCATGGCCTCTTTCTTCCCCAGTGTAACACTCTAATTGTGTCTGTTTTCATATAAGACTGTTCAGAAGGGGTTAGGACTAGGACCTACCCTACTCCAGTATGACTTAACTGGTAATGTCTTCAAAGAAAGACCCTATATTTCCAAACAAAGTTAAATTCATAGGTACAGGGGCAACAACTTCAACATATCTTTGTGGGTGACATAAATTAGTCCATAACAGCCCATGGCCTATTGGCTTTTTTTCTGATTGGAGAGTCAGTATGTGGTCTAATTTTTTTGTGTCCTACAGGTGATGTGTGTTCAGATTAAGTGTTTCCATGAGATAATCACTATTGGCTACAACGTCTACCACTCCTATGACCTGCCCTGGTTCAGGACCCTTAGCTGGTAAGCTCTAGCCCCAGAGGGATCTTTCCAAAACCATACTCCCTGCCATTGAGTTGATTAGACTCATAGCAACTCCTCCTTGGGTTTCTGAGGCAGTATCACTATGGAAGTAGACTGCCCAGTCTTCCTTCCAAGGAGTGACTGATGGATTTGAACTGCCAGCCTTCTGGTTAGCAGTCAGATGCCTTAGGCACTATGCCACCAGAGGATCTTTAGAAGATCAATAAAAGTACTTTGTGGTAGATGTTTACAGTGGTGATGGGTGGAGACAGGCGTGGTGGAGACAGACAGATGTGTAAGGTGACTTACACAGCACCTTTGAGCCTGGAGTATTTCACAGTCCAGACTATGCAGCTGGGCTTTGAGAAGTCTTTAGTTGTTATCAGGTGTCTGGACTCTTCCTCCACAGTAACTAGAACAGCTGCTTCTATGACCACATTCACTTTGGGCTCCTCGGGTGCTACATTGTTTGGGAGTTGGAAGGTTCTGGTGCTGGTGTCGCCATCTCTGGAACTTGGTTTACTCACTTCTAAAACAGGTGGCTGTAGTTTTCAGACTGTGGTTCTGGAGCCCTAGTTCCTTGGAGATGCCTTGGGAGCCAGAGTGGGCAGGAGCAGAATGAATGCATAGGATCTGGCCTCCCCCAGAGAATTGTTTTCTCCCTTTGCTAGAAAAGGGCTTTACTACCTTAAAGCAAAAACAAAAGTAAAACCTGTAGAGCAGATGGTGTCCAAGACCCCTTCCTGATCTGAAATTCTCTGCTTTATCAGCTACACTATGTTCAGATAAGGAGCCCTGGTGGCACTGTGGTTAAGCACTTGGCTGATAACCAAAAGGTCAGTAGTTCGAACCTGTCTTGCTGCTCTACAGGAGAAAAGATCTGGCCATTTGTTCCTGTAAAGACTATAGCCTAGAAAATCTTAAGGGATAATTCTGTTCTGTCATATAGGTCATTATGAGTTGGAATCGACTTGATGGGACACAACAGCAGATTGGTGACATTTGACCAGAGCATTGCATGGTGCTGTGATAACTTGTGCAAATGCAGGCATTCTCACCCCATCATGCTGGGGCACAGGGTTTGATTCTATGCTTTAGCTGGGCTGGAGAGGAGTGTTTTGACACCAGCGATTTGGTCATGGCCAGGGGAGCGGATGTGCTCAGACTAGGCTGGGTGTGCCCCTCCCAGAGATGCTTTCCCATGATTCAACAGGGCAGGCTGCCTCCCAACCTCCAGATGGCCCTGTGATGGCCACCTGGGTTAAGATGTGGCTGTTTTGTGGCTGGAAAATAGTGTCTTGAATTCTATTAACATACTCAGAAGGTCTGATCTCTGGCCTGGAGGGTCCTTTCCTAAAGGAAATTTTTTATGTGTAACAGAAAATAAGTCTAAGATGTGGAGTTCAACTTTGACAACTTTAAAAAAAAAGGTAAAGGGAGACTTCTACTTTTTCCTCCAATCTCAGGAAACTTGATGAGTGTTTGGAGTGGTGGCTGCAAGGTTGTGTATTAAGAATACCATGGAGGGATGTGAGTGATGGCCCCTCCCTCCAAGAAGCTCCAGTTGAGGAGAGAGAGAGACAATGAAAAGTTAACGCTAGTGAAGGTTTACTGCTAAGAGCCAGGCTTCAGAGAGGGAGATGCTGTGAGATGATGACCCATAATCATTGCCTAGTGGAATGAGCAGCTACTTCTTGCTCTAAATACAGAGGAGGCAGATGGGTGGTCATATGAGGTTTTACAAAGAAAACGTCTGAGCAATGAGTGAAAAATGGGTCAGTAGGATGTTCCAGGCAGGAAAAAGGCCAAGCAGGCAACTGGGAAAGGCAGAGTGAACCATTTTGACAACAGTGGAGGCTTCCTGTTGGGAAGAGTAGAATACGACCAGGGAGGAAGCATGGCAGCATGTTTGAGAGGGTCTTATGGTCTGAATGTTCTTAGGGCTACGTTTGGACACTTCACAGAAGGAGCAAAAGCAGTCCCAAGTTTGTGACGAAGGAAGAGAGATTCAGAGCTGGCACAAGTTTCTAGGTGAACCTCTCACCAGCAGTGTTACCAGAGAGCAAGGGACTATCCTGCTTGTTGCTTTGTGACTGACCTGGTGTGGGATGCTCCTCTCTGGGCCGCTCCTTAGTGTGTCCTCACTGCCTGACTGTGTAGGAGAGGCTGTGTGGGCTCCCCATGCAGTGCACTGACTGGTCTCTGTTTACAGGTACTTCTTGCTGTGTGTAAATTATTTCTTCTATGGTGAAACAGTAACGGATTACTTCTTCACTCTGGTCCAAAGAGAGGAGCCTTTGCGAATTCTCAGCAAATACCACCGGTTCATTTCCTTTACTCTGTATCTAACAGGTACGTAGTAGGAGGCTCGCCACTTCTTGTGTCTATTTTTCGTGTATGTGTAGAGTGGGAATTAGGGAACCTCTTGGTGAATGTAAAGTTTTGATGACATTAACTCGGGCTGTACAGACAGCGCAGTAGGATGTTTTCTGGGGGCAGCTCTCTACTAATAGGAGCAATGGAGACCAAGGTGGGTATGTGGTTTAGAAGGGGGGGCTACAGTTTATGCCACCTGCCCTGTGTTTCGGCCTCAGCCAGAAGACATCATAGTGTGACCTTTCCCCACTCCTGTTGACAAGATCTGTGGAGTGGTCCAAACAAAAATCCAGGAGCTTGCATATAAAACCACATGGCCACCTACTTCACAGTAGTATCTTAGGAGACTGCCCCAGGAGAGATTGTAGTGTGGTGGAAATTGTACTAGGTTTGGATTTAAAAAGACTCTGTGACCTTAGAGGGGCCAGGACCTTAATCTTTCTGAGTCTGAGTGAGTTCTTTGTAATATAGAGCTAAAGCTGCAGGGTTACTGTGAGGATTAAATCAGACATGTTGAAACGTGACAAACAGTAAATGCTATATTAATATAAACTCAGGGAGGCCTGTGTACTTACGCTAAAAATGCTAGTCTTTTCAGAGTTGCCTTCAAAGCCAGTTGATGAGGCACATGAGAAATTGGTTATCATTAATTGCAGGCTGATCTTATTTTTGATCGGCTTGGTAGCAAGACTTGGCTCTGTGAAAGGTACCTGGCCATTAACATGTAAGATTCACTGCCAAGAGGCATGCTTCCATTGAGGATATTCAGAAGAGCACCCGCAGACTCTGAAGGCAGCCTCCCAATGTGGGAGGTAGGGGCTATAAATAGGACACACGTGCTGGGATAAGTGAGAGGCTTCTGGGCAGAACTGCTTTTGTGGTCTCAGTATACCTGTGGGTGAAAATCTTTTTCTGTTGCTGGAGAAGGGGGCGCTGCCACCACCTGGGTCAGAGAGAGAAAGATGTTAGGCTTGTTCCAAGTGGGAACCCCCCTCCCCTTTAGGACTGGTAGATCAAACCCATTGCTGTTGAGTTGATTCTGACTCACATCGATCCTGTAAGGACAGGGTAAAATTGCCCATAGAATTTCCAAGGCTGTAAATGTTTATGGAAACGGACTGCCACATATTTCTCCCACTGAGCAGATGGTGGGTTTGAACTGATGACCTTTCAGTTACCATCCGAGCACTTGACCACTGTGCCACCTTGCTTTAGGACAAGGATGGACAAACTAATTTTAAAGTTCCAGTTAGTAAATATTTTTGGCTCTGAGGCCACAAGGTATCTATTCCTGCTACCACTTTCTGCCATTGTAGCATGAAAGCAACCATAGGCAGTATGTAAATGAACTGGCAAGGCTATGTTCCAATAAAACTTTATTTAGAGAAACAAACAACTGGCCTGGCTATTAATTGCTGACTCCTCCTCTAGCAGCAAAACACTCGTCAGGCAAACAGTGTCTTATATTGAGTACAAGATTTTAAAATATTGCCTTCAACATGTTGATTGTCTTGAAGGAGTCATTTTCTCCTTCTTACTGCTTATCTGGATAACTAGTTTTTTTCTCCCACCCTGGCCTTTAGAATTGTGCACTGGCTAATTGCTGTCAAGAAATAAACCAAAGGACCCCGGAGCACAGCTGGAGGAAATAACTAGGTTAAAGATAAACACAGGATGTGATTCATTTTGTCCTTCCTTCTCCCACCTCAAACAGGATTCTGCATGTTTGTGCTGAGTCTGGTCAAGAAGCATTATCGACTGCAGTTCTACATGGTAAGGGAGGTGCATGTGTGTGTGCTAGGACGATTCTTGGCTTAAAGGAAGTTCTGTCCAGAAACTCAGCAGGCCACTTATCCTTTCTCTGATAAAACTCAAACATGAAGGAAGAGTGCCCATTTAGTTTGGCAGCTTGCTGTCCATGTAGACCTGCTATTACTTAACTTAAACCCTAAGCAACCTTTTCACGAGGACCCTGGCAGTGGGCTTCAGGTATTGCCCACAAATATCCCACCTGATACATTACTTGTGTATCAGTTAGGATTCTCCAGAGAAACAGAACCAGTAGGAGGTATTGCTTTTTTTTTTAGTTTAGAGTTGCCTTCATCTTGGGGGAAGGGTGATATGTGTGTGTGTGTGTGTGTGTATTTGTTTGTGTGTAGAGGAATTGGCTCACGTGAGGGCTGACAGGTTTGAAATCTGTAGGGCAGAACTGCAGGCTGGAAACTTAGGATTTCTGTTAAAGTCTTAAGACAGAGCTCCTTTAAGAAATCTCAGATTTTGCTTTTAATACCATCTAGTAATTGGAGGAGGCCTATCCACATTATCGAGGATAATCTCTTACTTAAAGTCAACTGACTGTAAATGTTAATCACATCTACAAAATACCTTCACAGCAACATCTAGACTAGTGTTTGACCACACAACTGGTGGACATCATGGTCTAGCCACAGTGACACGTAAACTTAACCATCACAGCTTGGTGCTGCTCATTCCCTCCTTCAGATTGAGAACCTCTCTGCTCCCTGAGTGCCCTTAAGTGCTTAGTAAATACTGTTATGTGCAGGCTTTCAGAGCACAGGAACACCCACTTAGGAACAGGCCATGCTGTGTTTCTTGGTTGGATGAGGATATTTGAGATAGGAAGTATAGCTGGGGGACAAAGTTTTACTCCTGTTCTCTACCTTTTCTCTCCCAAAAAGACAGGCTCAGAAGGAGGTATTTTTCCTACCTGTTTCTCTGCAGTTTTCTATTTGGTATTGACTGTTCTTTGGAATTGCTTTCAAGGTACATTGATAGGTAGAGCTTACTCTTTTTCTCTTTCTGCAGTTTGGCTGGACCCATGTCACCTTACTGATTGTTGTAACCCAGTCACACCTTGTTATCCACAATCTGTTTGAAGGAATGATCTGGTGAGTGGGGGTGGTGGTAGGGACTTGCCTTTTATTCAGTGATTCTCATGTGCAGATATGACTGTCTTAACTTCTAAGCCATTTGTTCTCACACTTGAGTTATAGCAGAATCCCCTGCAGGGCTGTTTACAACTCAGATTGCTGGACCCCACTCCTGAGTTTCTGCCTCAGGAGGTCTGGGGGCAGGAGGAGCTGAGAATTTGCATTTCAAACAAGTTTTCTGGTGATGCACTTGTTGCTGATCAGGGCCCACACTTTGAGAAACTGCTGTGGACTAAGAGGCATGGGGATGTTTAAAGAACCATAGTGCAGTTGTGTGGCAACAGATTTGAAAACGTGGAGGAAATTTTCATGATTTCCTGGAAAAATGTAAACTACTAAATTTCGTGAAGAAGAAAACTTGAACAGATCAGAGACTGTAGACGAGTTTAGAAAATTGATTCATAATCTATACTTGGAAAGGGAACAGGATCAAATGGGAGAACAGCTGAGTCTTATCTAACCCTTAAGAATAAAACCAACAAGCACAGAGGGGAAAACAAGAATAGTAAAGTGATTTCTCTTATGATTACAGGCAACCCATTCTAAATTAAATATTAGCAAATCGTGTGTGGCAATTTGTCAAAGAGAATAATATGCTACTTCTGAGTAGACTATTGCAGAGGTAGAAGGGAGGGTTTGACAGGAAATCTTTGAGCATTGATAGAAATCAGCAGGGGGCCTGGAAGAGCTGGATGATCTTAGCAGGGCTTCAAACTGGTTCAGTCTTGGCTGACAAAGCAAAACCGGAACACACCTGAATTTTTAAAATTTGGGTGATCTGGAGTGGTAACTGGAACAGAAAAATGATGGGTTGAAACCTTGTAAAGGGAGACTCAGAAGGGGTATAGTGAGCCATTTCAGGATCCAGGTGCATCAGGACTGCAGAGAGGGAAACCACACATTCAAAGTGGCATAGTCAGCCGCCATCTTTGAACAGCGCACCATTGTTTCCCTGTTTCCGACTGATGGGCAAGAGATTTGGTTGCTGTGCAAGGTGTCCACTGCCCTTGATTTCTCAGAGGGAGATTAATTTCTAGCAGGACTTCAGTCCTGTAATTTTTCCCATTCTGGCTATCATTCTGCTTCACCCAAATTTTAGAAATTCATGTCTGTTCTGGTTTTGCTTCATTAGCCATGACTGAACTGGGAAAAACCAGTTCAAAGCCCTGGATCAAAGATGAGGACATATTCTAGTATGTATGTGAGAGAGGCACTTGAGCATTGCATTTGTGGTACTACACTGTGCCTGTTTCCTTTTCTTAGAATAGAGAGATGATAATACTAATCTCCTGTTGAATAAATTAATAAATAGATACAAAGTGCTTAGAACAAAGACTAGCTGCCATTAATGTCAGTTTTAGGGATTGTTATATTTAAACCAATTAAAATGGCCTGAGAGACATGCAAATGTTTCCCTTGCTCTTTGAGTTTTTGTTAGGTATTTCATAAGAGTGATGTGTACTAGAGAGCTCTGGTAGTGTAGTGCCTAAGGCATCTGACTGCTAACCAGAAGGCTGGCAGTTTAAACCCTCCAGCCACTCCTTGGAAGTAAGGTTGGGCAATCTACTTCCATAGTGATACCACCTTGGAAACCCAAGGAGGGGTCACTATGAGTTGAGATCGACTTGACAACAGTGAGGGTTTTTGACATGTACTAAGCCCTGTCTTTAGGGTCAAACATACCACTAGTTCCACAGTGGATAGTATTAAAAACTCTAGGTATTGTCACTATATGGGGTCAAGTTGACATCAACTCAAAAGAGTAGTAGATAGGAAACTTAGGGTGTGGTGAGAAACAGTTTGGTAAGAAGAGTGAGAACGGTTGCACGGCCTGCAGAATGTAATCGGTGTCACTGAATTGTACGTGTAGCGATTGTTGTTTTGGTGTTACGTTCTGCTGTGTATATTCTCACCACCACCAACAAAAAGAATAAAGCAAAACTCTTGTTACTGGTTTTCAGAATCAACCTAGAAGACTTAATAACAGCCCAGAAAATGTGTGTTAGAAGCCTTGACAAAGTAAAATAATGTTGTGGGGTTTGGAGATAAATGGCATAAAGAGAGTACTGTCCTCTAACTCCATCCCTTAAACAGGAACTCAGAACATGTTGCCTGAAGTTGATGGGCCAGGAAATTAAGATTTCTATAGGTTATGTTAAGCTATAATGTTGTTGTGAGGGGCTGTGGAGTTGGTTCTGACTCATAGGGACCTTATGTATAACAGACCTTATATATAACAGAACAAACTGAAAGGCACTGTCAGAGTGGGGAGAGGGGAGATGGTGCAAAAGTGGAAACACCCTGTGTTCATGGTGCGGATGATCAGGTTAGTGGGAGGCAGAGAGGAGAGTTAGCTGTGTGTTAAGGTTTTGTTCTCAGTGTATTCCTAGGTAAAGGTAGGACTCCCTGGAGTAAATAAATAGTAAGTGTGTCATGAAGCAGGCACAAAATGTACTATGTAGAGCTGTAGAGGTAACTACTACAAGGAAAATCAGAAGTGATTGAAGGGGTTGTCTTTGAGACTGGAGGTAGGGTGGGGAAAAGAAGGAAAACTTATTTTTTTTCTATTACTGTTTGAATTTGTATTATCATTTGCTTGTAATACTTTAATGAAATAAGAACAAATGATACTTTGTAAATGGCAACTCTTTATTCTAGGTCCTAAGGTGCCAGGTTTGGCTTATTTGGTGTTTATTTCTTTTTAGCTTATTTCTTAGTAGATTACTCCATACCCATTGCTGTTGAGTTGATTCTGACTCATAGTGACCCTATAGGAAAGAGTGGAACTGCCCCATAGGATTTCCTAGGCTATAAATCTCAATAGAAGGAGACTTCCACATCTTTCTCCCATGGAATGGCTGGTGGACTTAAACCATTGACCTTTTGGCTAGCAGCCAAGTGCTTAACCATTGTGCCACCAGAACTCCTTCTTAATGGGTTACAGGTACTTAATGGGATATTTTGATACTGGGACCTACACATGGCATGGTATTATTTTGAGGTACCGTATCTTCATAGAATTGATCCTCATTTTGCTTTATTTCCTAGGTTCATTGTCCCCATTTCCTGTGTCATCTGTAATGACATCATGGCCTATATGTTTGGCTTTTTCTTTGGTCGGACCCCACTCATCAAGGTAAGTGGATGACTGTAATATGAAACATCCCAGTGAGGGGAGGGTGGCACTTTTACAGCTGGGAAGGCAGAGAGACCTAGCTGGTACATATTGTGGCCATGTCTTTATGTTATCCTAGGGAAAGGCTGGAACATGAGAGCTAATCGTAAATTAATTTTAAGAGAAAAGCTAAAGAAAAACATTGACAATCACTCATTTTAAAAAAAATGCTAGTAAAGAAATGTATTTTTAGACTACATAGGCACATAATTTTTTTTTCAATTGTGATTTGGGTGAAAGTTTACAGAGCAAATTGACTTTCCATACAGCGGCTCACATACACTTTGTCTCATGACATTGATTACAATTTACCACAATGCAACAGCTCCCCTCCCACTTCCTCCCCATTGTTACCTCTTCCTTGTGTCCTTCCCTCCATGCACTCCTGCCCCCCATACTGTCTCCCTGTGCATACACAGCCCTTCTATTCTACCATGATTGTTCTCTCCAAGGAGTGTATCTACCTAATATAAATGTTCAGCTCATATGCCTGACTTTTGTTTGGCTGGAAGCCACAGGATTGTGTTCAATTTCAGACCTGAAGGGTAGCTAGAGGTCATAGTCTCAGTGGTTCCATCAGGATAGGCACACTTTTGAGGCTTTGATCTGGATTTGAGTGTTGTCATTTAATTGTTATACTACTTTTTAATCTATTTAAAATATCTGAATGACCAATTGAAACATGAAGGAAACTAGGGTATTAGAGAGGGAGCAAGGCTACTAAGCCTGGGGAATTCTTAGAAGGTGAGGTGGTTAATAGAATGGGATTTTTATAGTAGAGAGTTGTTTGTAAGTAATTATAGTTCCAAAGCCAGCATTATCAACTCCCCCTTTGCTAAGAACTTGTTCTCTGTCCACAGCTCTCCCCGAAGAAGACCTGGGAAGGCTTCATTGGGGGCTTCTTTGCCACCGTGGTGTTTGGCCTCCTGGTAGGTGGTAGCATCTGGCCAGGTGGGAGAGTGGACAGAGGCCTCATACCCACTATCCAAGGCCTGTCCAGAACTAGAGAGTGTGTTTCTTGAGCTCAGAAAGTCTGTTCTGCTGAATTGATGACCTTGTGCTGAAGAGGGGTCAAGCATGGTGCACCATCACCACTAGGGACAGTGTGTCCTCCCTCAGCCTGCTTTCACATGAGGAGGTTAGGTGGTGGAAGAGTGGGGGTTGTGCTCACATTGTACTCCTCATACCTCAGTGGGACATGGTGACACTTAGCTGGCAGTGTTCTTGTCCAGAGTTATGATATTTCCAGGGCAGGAAGGAGTCAGGGGTGAAGTGGAATGTGCCACTCCACTCCAGGCTTCCCCCAAATACACCCTACCTGGAGGAGGATGATATTCCAGTCTTCCTTGGAGTACTGTTCCATGCCTCTGATCCTCAGACCAGTCCTATTTCCTGTCTCAGGGTTGTCTAGCTGTCCCTTAGTACTGGACCTCTTCACCTTTATTGCGCTTCAGCCTTCTTCCTCCTGGCTGTCTGCCCCTCACCATCCCACTCACCCTCCATTTATCATTAGGTTAAGAGATCCTGAGGGAGACTTCCGGTAAGATGGAGGAATAGGCAGACAAGTGACACAGACCCTCTTCAACAAAGAAAAGAAAAAACATTTAACAGAGATACAGAAGATAATCCTGGAGCCCTGAGCTTTGAAAGGAACTGTACAGAAGTGGATTAGGCACCAACTAGTGGAAAAACCTGAATGAAAACAATGAGTACAGAGATGGTCGGAGCTGCGGATTGTCAGCTACTCTGATGGGACTAACAGCCTGAATATTTCCAAGTGGTGTTGGGACCTGAGAATTGACCCTAAAGATCATCCCTGGTCACCAAGGGCTGCAGGGAAGACTGCGCTGGTAGCCTATGACTAGGAAGGGAAACAGCAAGGAGGGAGACAACGTGAGCTGTTGACTTTCTGCTGTCTGGAGGGTGCAGCCATTTTGATTGTTTACACGTGGCAGCCATTTTGGATATTTAAAGTGACCGAGGGTACATTCATTTTTTTTTTTTT